CTTTCTTTCTTTCTTTCTTTCTTTCTTTCTTTCTTTCTTTCTTTCTTTCTTTCTTTCTTTCTTTCCAAAAGATTGAAATACAACATGAGTGGGTTTACAAAGGTGTATAAGTCTACCAGTCAAGGGTAGGGTGAGTCTTTACTGGGTATATTGTGTTACGCAATGTCAAGGTTTCACAATATATCAGGGATGGAGCAACTCCAGTTCATGGTCCTAACTTGGCCAACCATACCAGCCCATCCTTGCAACCTTGGCTTTGCCTTGACCACCCTACATGCTTCTTCTCAATAAGGGTTCCTCCTTCAAGCCCCAGCTACTCAGGGATTTATTGACACCACACTTTCTCCAATCAGCCTTCTGAAAGACTGAAAGAGCACTTTTGAATCAGCTCCTCTCCAGAAGTCAGATGACATCAGTCAGCAGCCACCCCCAGTTACTTCTTCCCACCATGGAAGGTCCTGGGGAAATACCTGGTCCTTTGTCCCAGTCCTGCCCCCCCATCCCTGCCACTCAATAACTGAAGTATCCAACCCCATGAACTGTCTGATTTGCATTCTTATGTTCCAGAAAGCAAGTGAGCAAAAGCCACCAGCCTGCACCAGCTCCTACAGTATCATCACTGCAGAGAGGAAATGGGAAGTCATTTGTGATGTCTAGTCCTTTTCTTTCTCCAGGCTGGCTGGACCCCTCTGCATATTGCTGCATCAGCTGGCCGGGATGAAATTGTGAAAGCCCTCCTTCAGAAAGGAGCTCAGGTGAATGCCACCAATCAGAACGGCTGCACCCCTCTGCATTACGCCGCATCGAAGAATAAGCAGGAGGTTCGGTTTTGCTTTGTGGCTTTGCTCTTTTCCCTGCTTCTCAAAAGCAGACGGTCTGGTCATCCTTTTCTCTTCTCCCCAATAGATTGCACTGATGCTCCTTGAGAACAAAGCTAATCCAGATGCAAAGGATCACTTGGCCTCAACGCCGTTACACAGAGCAGCATCCAAAGGGAACCTGAAAATGATACAGATCCTTCTGAAGCACAAAGCTTCAGTCAATTTACAGGACTCCGAAGGAAACACAGCTCTGTAAGAACTGGATGCTTTTCTTGATTTATTACAAGGTTTTGGCACTAACTCAGGGCTGTTGACACACCCATAAAACAGAACCAACTACTATAGACTTGCAAAGGTAACCTAGGTCTGTGTTCCCTTCCAGAAATCATGGTTGACTTTGTCCCAATTCGTTTAAACATCTAAACAAAATAGATATTAATTCCGTTCACCCAACACCCCAAGCTGTATTTCTTTATTAATGATTTATATTAGCTAAACAAATAGTTCCCAACCTGTTTTGGGGAATCAGTGCTGATCAGTAAGGGCACTGCAGGTATGGGTGCCACAATTAAAATACATGCTTTAAAATAGCCCAAATCTCAGAGATTAACAAATCACACCAGATGTTGGTGTTCTGGCTGGCAGCCTTGTAAGGTTTTAGCATTTATCCCCCACCTCTCATATACATGGAAGCATGAAAATGTTGTGAAATTTGGTGATTTCATGGTATTTCAACCATTTAATTTTTAAAATACATATTTAATGGATCACAAGGATCTCATCTGGAGGGATTATATGTGCCCTGATAGCCACAGGCATTTTATTCCTGGCCCCCATCTTGGGCTCAAAAACCATTGGTGATAACACAGAAGTCCATAGAAAGAAAAAAGTTGAGAAGTGCTGAATTACATGGTTTTATCTTCTCCATGATATAATGTGGCTTGCTTGCTTGTTTGTGGTTTATGCACTGTGCGAACCTAGACTTGGTGGCTTGCAAGTCAAAAGTAATGGTGCAGCATGTTGTGGGTTATATAGTCAATCATGGCTAAACAAGTTGCGGCTTTGTATGTTGGATAAACACCATAATCATGGTTCCCTTAGCAGTGCTTTAAAGTTCTAGCCCTTCTCTCCTGTGGATAAACATCTCCCTGTAGTACAAAATGTCTCTTTTCATCATCGGTTGAGATTCTAACAGTCCTACAAATAAGGAATAGTACAAGATTGCTGTTGCGGGAGGCAGAGCCCCACAGATTTTTGACGGTACAATCTTAAGTATTTGTACCATCATTCTACTTAACATTGCATGATACAACCTTGCTTAATTAGCAGACTTTTAGCCTTGCTTATTAAGAACTTCTTTCTACCTAACTTCCAGATCTGTTCTGATCTGTGGTCCTTACCGGACAGTATACTTAACTAAGCCCAGATTGAACTAGCTGTAGATTAAAACTGAAGCCATAATTTGAACTTCCAGTTGTCCAACAAGCATGCTATCTGCTAAAGCTACTTAAATTGCTTCTAGCATTTGACCTGTTAGCATTCTGCTAAGCTTCTGTGATGTTAGATTAACATGATGCCTTAACTGACTCTTAAACCCCTGGATGTAATGCTAAAATGTCATGGCAGGTCTGGGTATAATCCAAGTCTGCCTTTAAAACAGCAAAGTCTGCAAATATCTGGGCCGTTAGAGAACCCCACTGTAACTTTGTCAGTTTCACCAAAAGAAAAAAAAATGCAATTCTCTATTATGCCAGTATCTTTTTTACATCATCTCAGCATGAAATCTATGCAAAACTTCCCGATTCTCCTAAGATGATCAGATCGAGTAGCTTTGTTTAGTATTTGGCAGGAGTTTGCCAATAAAGAACCAACTTGTCATTTCAAGTAGTGAAAAGTCTTGTCCCTCCTCCCTGTATGCTATTTTTGAGCATTTGAATACAATATTTATGTCATATAAAATCCAAAGTAGCTCTTTTGGCCAAACAATCCAGGGCAGTATTTTTCTTGGGTTTGAAAACAATTGGGAAGCCTTCAGGTCCTTCAGAACTCTTCCTCAGGCGTAATTATAAAAACAATAGAAGAAGAAATATGCAAAAGTGCCTTATGCTGAAGCTGAGTCTGTAAAAGAGTAATTCTTGGTGTCCTTTACAGCCATTTAGCTTGCGATGAAGAGAGAGTGGACGAAGCGAAACTCCTGGTGGCCCACGGTGCGAGTATCTATATTGAGAACAAAGATGAAAAAACCCCATTGCAAATTGCAAAAGGAGGGCTGGGATCTATTCTAAGAAGGCTGGTTGAGGGGTAGCTGCGTTGGGCGACATGAATTCCATTCTTGATAAAGCTATTGAAGACTGTTCATAGAGGCTTTTTAAAAAAAAAAAAAGTCTGAACATGCTACAACTTGAATTTTTATTGCACTGTATCTTCTGCATACTTTCCTACATCTTCTGTGGCCAACTCTCCAAAAGTCTCCTTGCGTTATGAAGCTTATTACTGTTTTTGCAAAGTCTGGTTGTCCTCTTGGAGAACAATTTCAAGAAAACTCTCTCCATCTGCTTTCCTGTAACTTTGGAAACCAGATCTCCATCTGTGTCAGGCTTGCAAGAAGAGGCGAGTGGGTGAAGCCTACAGATTGCTAACTGTAAAAGTGATCGCTTTACTTTTTCAACTTGTCATCTGTGTATTAAGTGAATGTCAAAAGGTAGTGCTCACGTGTGGTGACTCAGAATTGAGCACGCCTTGCCAAAATCCAAGGCTGCAGCATCTGTCGCCCTCCAGAAGTTGCTGAACTACAATTCCCAGCAGCCACTGCCAGTGGTTGAAGATTCTGGGATTGTACCTTAATGGCATCTGGAGGGCCACTGGTAGCAGCTGTCTCACTGGATTTCTTTATTGTAATATTTTTGGAATCTTTCTGCAAGCATCTTTTGCTTCAGCCTACTTCCTCTTGTAGGCAGTAAGTGATCAGAGTGGAGCATTATGGGAAGAAAGCTTATAGATTTAAACTTAGTTCAGGAAAGGTGCAGGTATCACAAATTGTTCCTTGTGAATAAAAGCTAATGTGTGTTGGCATTGTGGAGCTTCTTGGACTTATTTGCCGGGACCTCATGTGGTTAACTGTTGGTTTCAGCGAACTGCTTATTAAAAGAAACCCTGTTCAAGACCATTTTAAAGTATTCCTGAATACTTAAAATACTAAATACTTTACTATTTATTAATACTAAATACTTAAATCAGTATTTTAAACCAGTGTTTCTCAAACTTGGCAATTTAAGATGTATGGACTTCAACTCCCAGAATTCCCCCCCCCCCCCCCC